TTAGAGAGAACTACTCTGATCCTGCAGTGAATTTGAAGACCATGGACTTCAAGCCATATCCGTGCTGATTGTAACAGGTCCCCTCAAAAGTATGAATTCTTTGCAGCACCTTCTCCATATCTTCAGAAGATTTCAAATCTCACCACAAAGAAGCCTACCTTCTGATATGTTAATTGGAAATCATTTGTCCACAGCTTTTGTATGAATCGTTTGAAGAATGGATGGTAGGGCTTGACATACCCACTTCTCGAGTTCGACCAATATTCAGCATTGTCTACAATATCTTCATCTTCTATGTAGATCTTGTGCTGGTTTTTGCTTAGAGCATGGAAATTCAAATTGATAAAAGATGTCTAGACTTCGCCAAGACAGCCGTGGAGGAGTTCTTTATTGGGGATTGGAAAAGGAAGGCAAAAGCCTCCCATCTGTCTTCCGAAAAGTGAGCTTTGTGTGCGCCCAAGCCCCATATATAAGGGCGTTTGGAATGGTATAGAGCCCAAAAAAAAATAATAATAATAAAGAAAAATAAATAAATGTGAGCGAAAGCAACAGCTATGGGTTGAATAACTTGGGTCATGCATGTTGTTCTTTTATTTTATCTTTGACGGGCTTATTTTCATTTTGGGTGTTTCCATTGTATTATCCCTTCTTTAATGTTCGAACCGGTTGAGGTCACTTCAGACACAAGCCATTGCAAGCCCACCATTCTTGAATGTGCCAGTAATAAAATAATAATATATATTTATTATACATAAATTATTTATTTTTACTTAAATAAGAATTTATAAATTTTTTAGTTTAACTCAATTTTTAAAAATTGAGTTAAAAACAGACCCAATTAAATTAGGTCCACCGAAAGCTCATACTTCTTTTGAAAAGCCCCGGAAATTTATGAATGTAATCCCTGAAGATACATTTCCAAGCCTTTTAGATTATAAATTATCTGAGAAATAAATAGATAATCACTTAAAGTTGTAACCCTCCACTAGAAGACTGGGATTATTACTATTATTATTAACTAAATAATCACAAGTTTAACGGTTGTAGGTAATCTTGTTTTTAGCTGTTTGGCATGCTCTCTAGCAGCTTCCATCTGGGCTTCCCGTGAAAAAATGGAGGGTATCACAAGACGGGTATTAATAATTATCTTCTCCAGTGATGCAGCAATCTCAAGTATGTGCAAAACAAGTTCAACTTCGCTTTTGCTACTCCCATCAAACCCACACAATTCCACCACCTTAAGGCATTGATGATGACATTTAGTCACCTCTTTTACAGCATATACATATGTTCTTTCATCAACTTCCCTTATTATCTGCCAGCACAACAAGAGATGACATTATTTGCAAACAAGGTTAAGAATATATAACAAACTCTTAGACCACTACAAATTTGTAATTTTCAGTACCTCTCTATAAACCCGTGCAAGATGCATCTGCCATAGAGGAAGATAGATAAAATAAATAAAAACAAACAGAACAGTGAATTAGAAGCTAGAACAACAGTTGGTTAACGCAAGAAGATTTAGTAAAAAAGTAAATTGCACTTTGTTCTGCACTGGATTTGAAAGGAGCCAGTTGTATCTAATAAAAATAAGAAATCTTCCTTTTCTTGATGATTTTCTAAAAGGTTTCTAAGAAAATCAACAAATGACCTTGTATTTACATTCCAATGATGACTCAATTGCTCATTTGTCCCCGGCAATAACATGGGTTCGAGTCCTGAAATCAACCTATTTAGCAATGGAGTAAGGCAGCTTACCATCCACCTCTTTCAGGAGAAGGTATTGGATGTACCCGGCGCACATTGTATAGGCTCATCCGAGCTGTACGTGTTGTATACATGCGGGCGCATGTTGTGTATGTACGGCTCGGATGAGCTAGCGCACAGTGCACCCGGTGCACCCAATAGTATTTTTCTTTCAGACCCTGCTAAATGCAGGGATCTTGCATACTGGGAAAGACTTTTTTATTTTTTTTTCCAATGGTGATTCAAGTAATGCAACCGGGTTATCCAACAACCTATTAGAGCAACTGACTATTAGAGTAACTCAATTACATAATGGTCATCAATATTGGTTAAACATCAGGAATTATTCATAAGAGAAATCCAAACCACAACTTGGTTATTTTCAGTAAGACTGCAGAAACTGTCCCCAGTTGCTTTAACTGGCATTAGAGGCTACAAAACACTCAAATAATAGCCACTCACAGAACATAATAGTAGATTAGTAGCATAGGTTGTTTATTAAAAAAAATTAATAACAACAATAATAGTAATAAAATCCTTACCATGCCAGAAGCTCTCTTATCAAATCTTATTCACATTCTAATTCAATCTCTATTCAACACCAATTATGAAAACAAGATTCACTTAATGCCGGGGAAGAATTCAAGTGAACAGTTCTCCATACAAATTTACTTCCAGCAGAACAAAGAGATCAAAAATGCTTGAGGCCTTCACAAAATTTAAACAATAGACCTAATTCCTCCATAAATGACCACAAAGTGTATCAGTAATGAATTTTTTGGAAAAAATAAAATAAAAAACACAAAGAGAATATCTTGATGTCCTTAGATTAACAACTTATTATAATATATATATATATTTTTTGGTTCAAGAAATTTTTCATTAAAAGCACTCGAAAGGGGAGCCTACCCAAGCGAACATGTGCAAAACAATAAGCTCCAAGTCAGAATAAACCCCTATACCCTTAAACTATCCACAAATGCTACAAAATCCTCTACAATACCTCCAATTAACCTAACAAACAACCCAACAAACAACAAAACGAAGAATGGACGATTTTAATACCCCTATAGTGGGTTAATTCTAGTCAAAGAGTCCCTTATTTCTTTCATACCACAAACCCCACCAAATACAAAGTGGAATCACTCTCACGTATCCCAGGCTAGCAACACAACTATGCACCCGTTCCAAGCCTCAAGCATGTTCAACGTGGACCATGGCAAGCTTCAAGCATGCTCAATATCCATACATCCCTAGACACCAAAAAATGTAAGAGAAGCTGATCAATCAACTCCTCATCCCTCTTGCACATGCAACAACAATTTACCAAGATTTGACGCCTCTTTCTTGTCATTTGTCAAGATCCTCCCCAAAACAACCGTCCATCCAAAAAAAGCAACCTTGAGGGAACCTTTGGTTCACCAAACTTCCCCCCTAGGAATTGTAGACTCCTAAATATTTGAAAATCTCTGGTAAAAATAGCACGCCTCGAAACTCCCTTGCCTAGAATCCAGCCAAACACATACAAACTGCACATCCCAAGTCGTCCTTCTGCTATCAAGGCGATAACAAACAGCTACCAAGACATGACCATCTAAAGATATCCTAAACAACCTCAGGAAAACACTTGTTATTGGCCTATCCCCACCCTACATCATGGATCCGACCAAAACCTAATCTGCCTCCATTAAATTCGTATTGAAAGCTAGCTCACCATAACTTCTGAATTCAATCACATTATACCTTTAAGCATTAGGTACAACTTAATTTTATTTAGGCTGGTAACAATGTATTGATTCTATTCACATTCTAGTAGCATATATATATATATATATATATATATATATATATATATATATATATATTTGGTAAGTCACATTCTAGTAGCATGTTTTAAGACTTCAACTTATTTTCATTTATAATCACATAATAATGGCATGAAAACACATAGCAACTAAGATTAAACAAGAAAAGAGTGGCTAGGATCAATGGATCTCTTTATAAGATAATGTTTGCATCCTGATGATATATATTCTCTCTCTTTTTTTTTTCCTTAATTTCCTTTGCATAATTGAGGACAATTTAAGATGTTTGTCTCTTTCTTTCCAATTCATATATTTCTCAGCCTCTTATATCCCATTCCATTCTCTCTGTCTACTTTACCCCAACGCTTGACAAACAGCTGTGGTAAATTCAGAAGGCCTCCATTAAAGATTTTACTTAGGTTACTCATATTGTATAAGCAAAAAGCTACAATGGCACAAACCCACTAAGTTCTCAAAATTTAGGGTGTGTTTGGAATGGCATTTTTTATGAAAGCATTATTCAATTGTTATCTTCTTCATCTTCAACTTGTTCTTTAAATTTAATTTGGGTCAAAAGAAATTTAGTAAGTTATCAAGTTCCAGTATGTTTCCTTTTTTAAGTTGAAGATGGCAATTTATTTGCAGAAGCGAAAGTGGCAGGCTGATGGTCCCTTTCACCTCCTCAGCCACTTCAATAAAAATCTTATATTCTATCATATACGTGTCTCTCTGCTTACACCTCTCCCAATCTTCTTATCTCTTTACATTTGAAGTCTATTTAAATCATACATCTGCCTTTTTATAAATAAAATAATAATAGTCAATACTAATACAAATTATGAAAAAAAAAAATTAAAAAATCAATACTAATACTTCCATTAGCAAACATAACTTAAATTACAAAGAAAGGAGACTTACCCGAACAGAAAACTTAGACAAATTAGGAGATGCCTTAATCACAGAAGTGAAACTAAGAAGGCAGTCACCACCAGATCCTACAAAGAAAAATTCCACTTGCTTGAGATTACCTAGATCACGACAATACTTGGGGAACCGCTGTATTTCCTAACAAAAAGAAAGCACAAGTTGATAATGATGTTACAACAACCATAACCAAAAAAGAAAAGAAAAGCATACAATCACGCAATGATTGTGTATTCTAACCTTTAAATATTTTAACTTGAGCTTTTCTATTTGAGGAAGAGAGCTAGAATGCTTGCAAAATCCAGAAACAAAGGGGGAACAGAATTCTCCCCCAATTGATAGCTCAGAGAGTAGAGGAACATTATTAAAATGCACACCTGTTTCTCGTCCCTTGTAAGCGAATGAAACAAGATTTATTGCAGAAATTTCCAGATTTTCCAAAGACAAGCATTGAGATATCTCTAAGCATTTCAATTTGAGTGACGGATCACTAGACATTTTGTACCCACAATGCCTAATTGTTCAAGAAACGGACAGTTGAATAGGGAAATTCTCAAGCATCTCCTCCGTGATATCAACACCAACCAATCGAAGAGCTGTTAGGGAACAAAAGCCAGCTACAGAACCAATACTCCATGACACATGATGACTGTGTGAAATCCTAAATAAGATTTTAAAGTTTTCCGTGCTTGAAAATTTGTAAAACGTACGCCACCGGCCAGGATGAGTGCCACCCAATGCATCCAATTTAAACCTTTGAGCACCCTTTTCGATAACAAACTTAATCCAATCATTGATATCGCGAGGGTATTGGTCACGAAAATTAAGAGAAATCCTCATTTCATCTATACAGGTGCCAAGATCCAATTTCAAGACTTCATTAACCCAATTTATATATGTAGTACGCTTTTCATCATGTTTAGAAGATGAAAAAGCTCTCTGTAGGAGCTCCTAGTAATGTCTTTGAATCGAAGTTGAAACTACCAGTTGTATATCTCCATAAATATCTCCATCTGCGTGAGAGAATACTAGAGCATGCAGCTTCCTTAAGTGTCAAAAGAGACAGGATGGCAATGAGGATCTCGTCTGGCAATCCAGTAATTCCATCCTTCGTATGCTGCTCTTTTGTCTGAAGTGAAAATCCAAATAATCGTAAACACAAGAAAAAGAAACATATTCAACAAAAGTAATGGAAACCACTACTCTACTAAAGTATTTAAGGACCACCATACATACATTCGGAGAACAGTAAGTATTTATTCATGAACCTTCATGCGTTTGATGAATCAAATTTTGGTTTGTCAAATGCACCCAGAACCTTTATGCGTTTGACGAGTCAAATTTTGAATCCATTATTGGAATGTGGTTTACTTTGATGCCATTTTGATTTACAGTCTATCCAAATATTCTCACTTGCAGCACTTAAGGGATGTATTAGAGGTTTGACGACAAGAGAAACTCAATGCTAAGCTGAAAAAGTGCCATTTGATCAGTAATTCCTTGGTGTATTTAGGATACATCATCAGTGCAAAAGGAATAAAAGTAGATGACAGCAAAGTGTCAGCCATTAGAAGCTGGACAACACCAACTACAGTTGCAGAATTTCATAGACCTACAGAGGTTTCATCAAGAATTTCAGCACTATAATTGCAACAGTGACTGATTGTTTGAAGAAAGGCAAGTTTGAATGGACCAACAAAGCTGCAGAGAGCTTCCAGTAGATCACAGAAAAGCTATGATCAACCCCGTCCTTGCATTACAAGATTTTGAAAGTATATTTGAAGTAGAATGTGATGCTTCTGGAATTGGGATTGGAGTTGTTCTAAGTGAAAGGGGCATTCGATCTCTGCTGAAGGAATCATCTTTGCATTAGAGCTTCCATGTGAATTTGGTAACCAAGTGATGAACCATATCCAGAGTTTCAATTCTTGCAAACTCATATCCAGGACAGTTCCTGGCGCCTCCTCCAAATGCCACAAAACTGTAAGGACGGGGAGTTCCTTGTTTCTCCGAGCGCATTGGATCGAACTTTTCTGGTTCTGGGAAGATTGTTTCATCCATATGTCATATGAGTCATGCTTGCAGACCAAACCACCTAATTATTATATGTGAGATATATATTTTGTAATTGGCTTATTTTGTTGTCAAAACAAGTCCAATCAAGTTGTAATTTTTCGGTTCAAAAATTTCGAAGATTGACGATCGGACGCGGATTTGAAGAAGAAAGTCAAGTGTTCATTACTACACTCTGAGATAATGAGAAAGATGCTCTAAGAAGGTTGAGAGGTAGTGAGAACAGTTAAGACGGTTTCTGGAAGGTTCGAAACAAGAATAATTGCAAAATATTGCAAATTTTCAACACTGTCCATCTTGAACCAGTTCAAGATGGCTGAACCAGTTCAAGGTCTTCTAGCAGCACTTGGATTTTAGTTTCCTTTATGCTGAAAGTTTCCTTTTCAATTCCAACTTTCTTCCAAGTCCTATGCACGAAATTTATCATATTTTCTGAGGGATTAGGACTTTAAAAACTCTATATAAACTATGTCATATATATTGGTTTAAAGATGGCTTTAAGGAAAATCAATTCTATATTTTGAGAAAGCCTTTAGAGAGAGAAAAATTTAGAAAATCAAATCTAATTATTCTGAATTTATTTTTGAGAGCACACATATATATTCATGAGTGATTTAGTTATAACGTTCTCTATCTCATCGGAATTGGAGCTGTATTGAATATTCAGATATTCCAGATGATCTGCAGGATTTAATTCTTCTACAATCGAGTTCAGATCTTGAAGAAGAGAAGTAAACACAATCACACTTTGAAAGGGTTAGAGCATTCGTGAAGTGCTGTTTGATCTACCTGCTACTCTTCTACAAATATCAAGTGTAAGCCTGAGATCAAGTTGCTGTTGGACGGGGAGTCGCAAAGCTAGAGGATTGTCAGCGGTTGGTGTAGTGTAAAACGATAGGGTGTGAGACAGAGTCAAAGTTCGGTATACTTTGTTTCAAATATAGTGGATTGGTTTACTTTGGACTGCACAGTCTACGAGATTTTTCCCACAACAGTTGACATATTTTATCAACTGGGGTTTCCTCGCTAAAAATCCTGGTGCAATCTCTCTAACTCTAACTTGTTTTACTTTTTCATATATTTGTGATTGTGGATGTTTAAATTGATCAGATAATCTAATCAATCGTAAATTAAGCAAGTTGACCTAATAATCAGATCTAGGTCATTAAGGAGCTAATCACCGTTTAAATCAACTAACAGTTTCCACATTCCGCGTAACTCTTGTTTCACATTATAATCCACAAATGCATGTCAGTCAGTCCTCTCTCTCTCTCTCTCTATATATATATATATATATATATATATGTATGTCTGTATGTATGTATGTATGTATAATGGCACATATATTATAGTAGTACTGATGATTAAAAGCTAACTACAATAATATTGAAGATTTGTCACATACTTGCCACCCTTTGGAATTATATAACCTCCATATTCAATATCTTTGAGAGCCCTCCTGAAGGAAAAAAAAATATAGGAGGGGTCACCCTTAGTGTCTCCATTGCTACCCTCCATGTGTACTTCATCTTCATAAGGTCTTCCCATGTGAAAAGCTTCCCCAAGCTCTTGCTCTTGGCAATCTCTTCTTGCTCTACAATCACAATTAGTAACATAATTTATCAATTTTTTATTTTATTGTATTTTTCTCGGGGGTGATTGAGAAAAAAATAAGTGCCCACAGCAATTTGGATCATCTCTTATGCACTGAACGGTCCAGTGACTCTATAAGGGGTGTGGACCCTACCAATAGAGTAGACTGTCCAATGCACGGGAGAGGATCTGGATTCTTTACCATAATGGTGTTAGGATATACCTTGAAGAACAAAAGAGTAGACGGATGGATGGTTGGCGAAAAGTCTGACCAAGAAGGTAAGTAAAATGGAGGAAGTGTCATGTCTTGCAAGCATTACAATGATGGCATTGTCCAAAATCTCCTCATCAGACAGTGCAGCTAAACCGTCTTCGTTGCGGATGCTTAGCAAGCAAGTGATGAGATCTTGATGAGGGGAAGCCCCATGTTTCTCTAATTCCACCTTTTTCTCGGATATAAGATCCATAACTATGGTTTTGATTTTTGCCCTTGCCCGGAGGCTATGGTTAAAGCGTGTAAATGGCTAATGTATTGGTACAAACAACATTCATTCCATCATATCCTTCTCTTTCAATACCGAATATAAGTGTACAAATTATGTTGAAGGTCAGGGTTTTCATTAGTGGCATCACCTATGTACGTATTGTGAGATATTTATTTTGTAATTGGCTAATTTCGTTGTCAAAACAAGTCCGATCAAGTTGTAATTTTTCAGTTCAAAAATTCAAGATTGAAGATCGGATGCAGATTTAAAGAAGTTCAAGTGTTCATGGTTTATTACACTCCGGGATGATGAGAACAATGCTTTAGAAAGGCATGTAAGTGAGTGAGAACACTTAGGAAGTCTTAGAAGTTTGAAGTGTTTAGGAAGTTTACATTCTGTCCTTTTAGTACTGGTAGCCAAATCTATTACTGGTAGCCAAATAGAAATTTCACTTCTATCCATTGGGATCCGGTAGCCAAATCTGATACTAGTAGCTAGTTATTCAAGAAGTGCGTCGGAAAGCTTTCTGACCTTCTTGAACCGGTAGCTAAATCTGGTACCGGTTCAAGACTGCCGAGTATGTTAGGTAACTTCAGTTTCCTATTATGTTTTAAATCCTTTTTGGACCAAACTTCTTTCCATAACCTATGCACGAATTCTAATTGTTTTAGAAGTGTTATTAGGTCTTCCTAACTTCTATATAATATCTCTTTCATTCAACATCGTGCTTTTGCTTACAAAATTCAGATCTAATTAAGAGCCATCTTTGAGAGATTTTTATTCAGAAAATCAACCTGATTTTTCTGATTTTATTTTTGAGAGCACACACATAAACATAAGAGTGATTTAGGAGTGTTGTTCTCTATCTCATCGGAATTAAAGTATAATTGAATATTCAGAAATTCCGAAAAGCAAAATTCATTCATTCTTCATCAAATTCAGATCTTGAAGAAAAGAGGTGAAGCGATCACACTTTGAAGGGGTTAAAGCATTTGTGGAGTGTTGTTTGATCTACCTGCAACTCTTCTACAGAGATCAAGAGTAAGCCTAAAGTCGAGAGCTGTTGGACAAGGGGGTCACAAAGTCAGGGATTGTCAACGATTGGTTTTTGGTAGAACGATTGGGTGTGAGCCTGAGTCAAAGTTCGGTGTACTTTGCTTCAAACATAGTGAATTATTTTTCTCTGGACTGCACAGTCCAACGAGATTTTTCCCATAACAATCAGTCTATTCTACCAATTGGAATTTCCTCGTTAAAAATCGTGTGGTCATCTCTTAAACCTTATTTACTTTACTTGCACTTTATTTTTGCTTTGTGATTTGAATTTAGTTTTATTTCGGTAAAATTAAAATAAGTAAAAATTGGATAAAGAAGCAAGTTATATCAATTCACCATCATCCTAGGTAAATTATCCATATTATATTCCACAACCATTTCGCTGCGAACAAACTCACACGTATTACAATTAATGTTGTTCAGTTGATTGGATGAAGACACTTAGAGACACACACATATATACAAACCTTTATTTCTACAAGATTCACTGATAACTAAGTATCACTTGTTCATGTTTTAGTTAATCTTTGGAATAGCAAACGGGTACTTGTAAATGTCTAACAACATAGCAAGGGCTCTTTAATTCCATGTATATACTAAAAAGTGGAAGCTATTAAGCTTCACAAAGCAACCATAAACAACTTTAAATCTAGAGTATATGCAAAGATTATTGTGAAATGTTATTAATCGTTTAATAAATTCGGTTTTCTGCAGCATAAGGAAACGTATAGCTAACACCATTAAAAAGCCTAAAATGTAACTTTAGATAAAAATTAATTACCAAAAACATAGGATAAGAACCCTAATCTATGAAACTGCTAAATATAAAAAATTGGAGTCCGTTTAGACCACACAAAAATGCCGAAATGGACTAAAAAATATGATTTCCGTACCCTAAACAATTAAATTTGACAAAAACTTCATGAACTAGTTAATAGATTTTAATTATATTTAGGTCGTATCCAATCGCAAATGATTCTTCTCCACTTAAAACAATATGATGAAACTATACCGAGAAAAGTTCGGATAAAACTATTCCCCTTAAGTAAGTATATAGTATTGCAAAAATTATTCCCCTTAATTAAGTACTCCTTCCATCCCTAATTAGTAGTTCATTTTTCTCTTTTTACATATTCTAAATTAGTTGTCTCTTTAAAAAGTTAAAGCATCTTTTTATTATATTTTCATCATTATCCTTTATCTTTTTAAAAAATTTCAAACTTTGTAACTATATATGTTTAAATTATAAAGGACAATTTGGTAAATTTAAAAAGAGACAATGCATTAATTACATGTCTCCTTAAAAATTCCAATTTTTAAACATGGACTTGTATTTAGGGACGAAAGGAGTATATAGTATTGTAAAAATCAATTAAGTTAGGTAGTGGTTAGATGTGAGTGTGATTTTAATGTCTAGAGAGTTAAATCACACACATCAACTGTTGATTTTCGTGTCCAATTGACATAGACATGTATACCTACCGTCACCTCCTTTTTGCCATGCCAATGCATCTCAAGGTGCTGTCTAACTTCTTCATCCATCTTCCCAACATACAGCTTCAACACTTCCGGCTTCAAAAACGATACAAGAGCTCCCTTGACTCTCCGGTGATCATCCTGGCCCAACTCCATTAAATTCTTGTCCCCATTGAGCCTCCTGATTGAAGCAGGCTGATGGTTGGCAAATGTGTTGCCATCACAAGTGTATATGAACTTGTTTGCAGCCTCTCCATGGAGGAAAACTGTTGATCGGGGTCCCAAAGAGGCTGAGTTTCGAAATCGAACCACACTTTCTTATCCTTTCTTGGAGCCATTCCTCTCCCCAATTGGCTCTCATGTCCCGTAGGAGGCCAAGGCTCTGGCCTACCATGGGTAACCCCATTGAGCCTGGTCACTGGTGGGATCCTTTTGGAAGATCTGTTTTTCAGGAAAAGGAGGAGAGGGAGTAGAAGTGGCAAATTTAAAATAGATTACAGATTCCATGGTTTTGTGTGTGTGTGTGTGTGTGTGTGACAGTGTGTGTTGAGCGAGGGAGAGGAGAGGGTGTGAAGCTATGTTTATAAGGAATTTTGAGGTGGTAACTGGTAATGGTTATATTTTTGTTGTCTGTATTGTTAGCAATCATATTCACTTTGTGACTCGTTGATGTTAGATATATAGAAATATATATGTAGAGTATTATATATGTACGTGTGTTGTCTACATGTTGACCGTTACATACGAGAAGTGCTTGGAACTTTCCATGCGGACAGAAGTAGACTACTCCGTAATACAGCCGGCAATGGGTTTGAGAATTGAGGACCACCTACTCTTGCTTTTGAAAAACAAATGTAAATTATTATTTTAATATTTGTTACAGCATATGAGTACTTTATTAATATTAAAAATATGTATATATATAGTACTCCTATGAATTCGAGAATGTTTTGAGAAGGTTAAAATGTTAAAATTTTAATTTAAATAGTTAATTCATAAGTTAAAGGGTAACAGGATATTTTGATTTTGATTTTGATTTAATGTATCAGTGTTCAATTTATCAAATCTGAAAATGTCATTGTCCAAAAAGTGTCAAAATTGATGAAAGTGTAGAATAATTTTTTTGCACTCTTGCCAAAACTGCATAGAATTTAAAGAATTTTGAAAAAAATTGCTAAATTTACGTCAGCAAACAAATTTGACCAACTAATTTTAATTTGACTTGCACAATCAAGGGTGACAACCAAAAGAGAGACTTTCTCTACACCATTACCATGTATAATCAACCAATCATCTTTTGTTAGTGGTAATAATTAAAGTATTTTTTCACAATTTATTTTTGACCCGACCCGACCTGCCCAGTAGGATGAGTCTAGATGGGTTAATGAGCCTGACCACCATGCGTGCGTGTCATCAATGTTAATTCTTCCTATTCTATACATTTCTCCAAGTCCGCGTAAAAACATTAGCACTCCTGCATACACCGACCACTCCTGAGATGAAACTTTTTAAAAATTTGCACCTCACTGCTACTATTACCCTCCCTCCCGTAAAATAAATAAATAATAAATGGCTATTAAGGTCTAGCAGCATGCAAGAGATGTGAAATAGAGATGGATCATTTCCTACGAACTTCCAACTGCATCAGAAAGAAGAAATTTAAAATTTTCCATTCAGGGTTTTATAATTCAAAACTGTGTTAAACTTTCCGCAGCCAGTCATAGAATAGCAGCTCATCTCTACTTTCGGTTGTAATCCCTGAAGATACATTGCCTTTTAGATTATAAATAATCTGAGAAGAATAAATAGATAATCACTTAAAGTTGTAACCCTCCAAACTAGAAGACATGGGACTGGGATTATTATTATTATTATTTTTAATAACTAAAGAATCACAAGTTCAATGGTTGCAGGTAATCTTGTTTTCAACTGTCTGGCACGCTCTCTAGCAGCTTCTATTTGGGCTTCCCGCGAAAATTCAGAGGGTATCACAAGACGAGTATCAATAATTATCTTCTCTAGTGATGCAGCAATCTCAAGTATGTGCAAAACAAGTTCAACTTCGCTTCCGCTAATCCCATTAAACCCACACAATTCCACCACCTTAAGGCATTGATGATGACATTTAGTCGCCTCTTTTACAGCATGTAAATATGTTCTTTCATCAACTTCCCTTATTATCTGCCAGCACAACAAGAGAAGGCATTATTTGCAGACAAGGTTAAGAATATATAACAAACTCTAGACCAGTATAAATTTGTAATTTTCAGTACCTCTCTATAAACCGGTGCAAGATGCATCTGCCATTGAGGAAGATAGTCAGATAAAAAATAAAAAAAACAAACAGAACAATGAATTAGAAGCTAGAACAACAGTAGGTTAACACAAGAAGATTTAGTAAAAAAGTAAATTGCACTGGATGTGAAAGGAGCCAGTTGTCTCTAATAAAAATAAGAAATCTTCCTTTTCTCAATGATTTTCTAAAAGGTTTCTAAGAAAATCAACAAATGACCTTGTATTTGCATTCCAATGACAACTCAAGTGCTCATCAGTCCCCCGCAATGACACGGGCTCGAGTCCTGAAATCAACCTATTTAGCAATGGAGTAAGGCAGCTTACCATCCACCTCTTTCAGGAGAAGGTATTGGGTGCACCTGGCACACTGTGTACAGGGCTCATCCGAGCCGTACGTGTTGTGCACACGCAGGCGCGTGTTGTGCATGTACAGCTCGGATGAGCCGGTGCACCGTGCACCTGGCGCACCCAATAGTATTACTCTTTCAGACCCTGCTAAATGCAGGGGTCTTGCATACTGGGAAAGACTTTTTTATTTTTTGCCAATGGTGATTCAAGTAATGCAACCGGGTTATGCAACAACCTATTAGAGCAACTGACTATTAGAGTAACTCACTTACATAATGGTCATCAATATTGGTTAAACATCAGGAATCATTCATAAGAGAAATCCAAACCACAATTTGGTTATTTTCAGTAAGGCTGCAGAAACTGTCCCCAGTTGCTTTAACTGGCATTGGAGGCTACCAAAAACACTCAAATAATAGCCACCCACAGACATAATAGTATAGATTAGTAGCATAGGTTGTTTATTAAAAAAAAATTAATAACAACAATAATAGTAATAAAATCCTTACCATGCCAAAAGCTCTCTTATCAAATCTTATTCACATTCTAATTCAATCTCTATTCAATGTCAATTATGAAAACAAGATTCACTTAAAGCCGGGGAAGGATTCAAGTGAACAGTTCTCCATACAAATTTACTTCCAGCAGAACAACGAGATCAAACATGCTTGAGGCCATCACAAAATTTAAACGATGGAGCTAATTCCTCCATAAATGACCACAAAGTTTACCAGTCATGAAATTTTTGGAAAAAATAAAATAAAAAGCACGAAGGGAATGTCTTGATGTCCTTAGATTAACAACTTATTCGATTTTTTTTTTTTTTTTTTTTTTTTGTTCAAGTAATTTTTCATTATAAGCACTCAAAAGGGGAGCGCACCCAAGCGAACATGTGCAAAACAATAAGCTCCAAGTCAAAATAATCCCCTATACCCTTAAACCTATGTTACCCGGACTCGGGTACGGGTGTCGGACACGGGTGCGTGTCTAAGAGTTGGATTCGTCAATCTATCAATTTTCAAGACACGGGGACTCGGATTAAAAGTGTCCAAATATTGGACACGGGTACTTGGACACTTTAAAAAATTTGTAAGTTATGTTTGAGACATTAATCCTAAAACTAAAAATATATATATCAATTGTACTCTTTTATAAGAATTTTATAATTATTACTGCATTTGTTTGCCTCATTTGATAGGTGGCATGTCATGGCTATGCATTCCCCTGCTACTGCTGTTTTTATGAAACCAGTAAATAAGAAATTCTGAGTTGTAGGGCTCTTTTTGTTTAACCAAGGGTGAGTTTGGGCTTGGGCTAATATGCCTCTATATCTTGGCATTTGGGCCTGTACAAGTCAAAGCACAATAAAAAAGGATGACTAATTCAATATGGGCTAATATGTCTCTGTATGTGCATCTCAGTCATGGATTGATGCTTGGGTTTTGGGCCTGTACAAGTCAAAAGCCCAATTAAAAAGGAAGCCGATTCATATAGTAGTACCATAAAAGCAAAGTTACAGCTGTAACCATAAAAGGAAGCCAAGTCAAAAGTCCACAGTAGGTCCTTTTTTCCACGTGAGATGCAAGACTTTTTACAGCTGTGTGCCAATGTCTCTTATCTTTCTAGATCCAAATAAACAGGTGTTGTGATCCTGACCGTTAAAAGGTTAGATATTAAGTTCGTGAAACCACGCACAAGATGGCACAAAAAATTGCACAAAAGCAGCGCATGTGGGTTCATAAACAGCAAGTCGTCTTCAACCTTCAGACCACCGATCCAAACCAAAACGGCCATTGTTGAAACAGAAAGCTTCATATGCCTGCAGATTTAACAAAAAAACACGAAAAAAATTCCTAATCCTTCACAAGCATCAAAGTACACATCATTTTATGTATTTTCGTCATCAGCCGTGTCCGACTGAAAAATGGAGGGTCGGACACATATCCCGTGTCCGTGTCCGTGTCGTGTCGACACGGACACTCTGGCCTTCTCTGACGAGTCCAGGTAACACAGCCTTAAACTATCCACAAATGCAACAAAATCCTCTACAATACCTCCCATTAACCCAACAAACAACAAAACGAAGAATGGACGATTTTAATACCCCTATACTAGATTAATTCTAGTCAAAGAGTCCCCTATTTCTTTCATACCAGAAGCCCCACCAAATACAAAGTAGAATCACTCTCATGTATCCCAGGCTAGCAACACAACTATACACCCATTCCAAGCCTCGAGCATGCTCAACGTGGACCTTGGCAAGCTTCGAGCATGCTCAATATCCACACATCCCTAGTCACCGAAAAACGTAAGAGAAGCTGATCAATCAACTCCTCATCCCTCTTGCACATGCAACAACAATTTACCAAGATTTGACGCCTCTTTCTTGTCGCTTGTCAAGATCCTCCCCAACACAACCGTCCATCCAAAAAAAGCAACCTTGAGGGAACCTTTGGTTCACCAAACTTCCCGGAATTGTAGACTACCAAATATTTGAAAATCTCTGGTAAAAATAGCACACCTCGAACCTCCCTTGCCTAGAATCTAGCCAAACACATACAAATTGCACATCCCAACTCGTCCTTCTGCTATCAAGGCGATAAAAAACAGCTACCAAGACATGACCATCTGAAGATATCCTGAACAACCTCAGGAAAACACTTGCTATTGGCCTATCCCCACCCCACATCATGGACTAGACCAAAACCTAATCTGCCTCCCTGAACTCTTGGAAAATTCATTCCCGCCCCCCCCCCCCCCCCCCCCCCCCCCCCTCAAAAAAAAAAAAAAAATCCAAGAAAAAAGTTAGGGGCTTATGTCTGCTGTCTTCAACTTCATCGCAAAAAAATTAATCTCTTTTAATAACATACAATGATATCCAACCAAAAAATGAGTCCCATTTATAGATTTTATCATCGTAAAAACTTTATAGGACTACTTATCCCCAAAAAAAAAAAGTTACAGAACGGTACAAACCCAACACTAGAAGTAATACAATGGCAATACAGTAGCTCATCGCCGTTATCCTTTGTGCAACGGTAAAAGGCCAAGCTGTTAGCATGTGACCACTGTTTTAAGGCTAAGAATAACAACTTTCTTTATTAATGTGAAAGGTTAGATTTGCATCCAATCTGCCTTTCCATCTCCTTACATTGGTGGCTAAGCAATAGCCTTTAACATTCTAAAACCATTGCAACTTTACAAGCAAGACAATAAAACAATGTCTATTTACATAGACCCTAAACTTGTATAAGTTCCATTTTATTTAAGTGCAAATAGTTCATGCATACAAAGATTTTTGCTTCTTGCGAGGTCCAATTTGTCAATCAAATGACCATCCAAATGTTACATTTGTGTATAGACGATAAAGAAAGAGTAAGGCGGGAATCCACGTTCATTTTGTCATTAAATTTGTATTGAAAGCTAGCTCACTATAACTTATGAATTCAATCACATTATACCTTTAAGCATTAGGTACAACTTAATTTTATTTAGGCTAGTAACAATGTATTGATACTATTCACATTCTAGTAGCATATATATATATATATATATATATATATATTTGGTAAGTCACATTCTAGTAGCATGTTTTAAGACTTCAACTTATTTTCATTTATAATCACATAATAATGGCATGAAAACAAATAGCAGCTAAGATTAAACAAGAAAAGAGTGGCTAGGATCAATGGATCTCTTTATAAGATAATGTTTGCATCCTGATGATATATATTCTCTCACTTTTTTTTTCCTTAATTTCCTTTGCATAATTGAGGACAATTTAAGATGTTTGTCTCTTTCTTTCCAATTCCTATATTTCTCAGCCTCTTATATCCCATTCCATTCTCTCTGTCTACTTTACCCTAACGCTTGAAAACAGCTGTGGTAAATTCAGAAGGCCTCCATTAAAGATTTTACTTAGGTTACTCATATTGTATAAGCAAAAAGCTACAATGGCACAAACCCACTAAGTTCTCAAAATTTAGGGTGTGTTTGGAATGGCATTTTTTATGAAAGCATTATTCAATTGTTATCTTCTTCATCTTCAACTTGTTCTTTAAATTTAATTTGGGTCAAAAGAAATTTAGTAAGTTATCAAGTTCAGTATGTTTCCTCTTTTAAGTTGAAGATGGGAATTTATTTGCAGAAGCGAAAGTGGCAGGCTGATGGTCCCTTTCACCTCCTCAGCCACTTCAATAAAAATCTTATATTCTATCATATACGTGTCTCTCTGCTTACACCTCTCCCAATCTTCTTATCTCTTTACATTTGAAGTCTATTTAAATCATACATGTACCTTTTATAAATAAAATAATAATAGTCAATACTAATACAAATTATGAAAAAAAAAAAATTAAAAAATCAATACTAATACTTCCATCAGCAAACATAACTTAAATTACAAAGAAAGAATACTTACCCGAACAGAAAACTTAGACAAATTAGGAGATGCCTTAATCACAGAAGTGAAACTCAGAAGGCAGTCACCACCAGATCCTACAAAGAAAAATTCCACTTGCTTGAGATTACCTAGATCACGGCAATACTTGGGGAACCGCTGTATTTCCTAACAAAAAGAAAGCACAAGTTGATAATGATGTTACAACAACCATAACCAAAAAAGAAAAGAAAAGCATACAATCACGCAATGATTGTGTATTCTAACCTGTAAATATTTTAACTTGAGCTTTTCTATTTGAGGAAGAGAGCTGGAATGCTTGCAACATCCAAAAACAAAGGGGGGACAGAATTCTCCCCCAATTGATAGCTCAGAGAGTAGAGGAACATTCTTAAAATGCACACCTGTTTCTCGTCCCTTGTAGGCGAATGAAACAAGATTTATTGCAGAAATTTCCAGATTTTCCAAAGACAAGCATTGAGATATCTCTAAGCATTTCAATTTGAGTGACGGGCCAGAAATTTTTAGATTCACCAGACATTTTGTACCCACAATGCCTAATTGTTCAAGAAACGGACAGTTGAATAGGAAATTCTCAAGCATCTCCTCCGTGATATCAACACCAACCAATCGAAGAGCTGTCAGGGAACAAAAGCCAGCTGCAGAACCAATACTCCGTGACACATGATGACTGTGTGAAGTCCTAAATAAGATTTTGAAGTTTTCCACGCTTGAAAAATTGTAAAATGTACGCCACTGGCCGGGAATAGTGTAACCCAACACATTCAATTCAAACCTTTGAGCACCCTTTTCCATAGCAAACTTAATCCAATCATTGATATCGTGAGGGTATTGGTCACGGAAATCAAAATAAATCCTCATTTCATCTATACGGGTGCCAAGATGCAATTTCAAGACTTCATTAACCCAATTTGTATATGTAGTACGCTTTTCTTCATGTTCAGAACATAAAAAAATCCTCTCTGTAGGAGCTCCTAGTAATGTATTTAAATCGAAGTTGAAACTACCAGTTGTATGTCTCCATAAATATCTCCATCTGCGTGAGAGAATACTAGAGCATGCAGCTTCCTTAAGCGTCAAAAGAGACAGGATGTCAATGAGGATCTCGTCTGGCAATCCACTAATTCCATCCTTCGTATGCTGCTCTTTTGTCTGAAGTGAAAATCCAAATAATCATAAACACAAGAAAAAGAAACATATTCAACAAAAGTAATAGAAACCACTACTCTACTAAAGTATTTAAGGACCACCATACATACATTCAGAGAACAATGAGTATTTATTCATGAACATTCATGTATTTGATGAATCAAATTTTGGTTTGTCAAATGCACCCAGAACCTTTATGACGAGTCAAATTTTGAAGCCATTATTGGAAAGTTTGTTGTGATTTACTTTGATGCCATTTTGATTTACAGTCTATCCAAAGATTCTCACTTGCAGCACTTAAGGGAAGTATTAGAGGTTCTACGACAAGAGAAACTCAATGCTAACCTGAAAAAATGCCATTTTATGAATAATTCCTTGGTGTTTTTGGGATACATCATCAGTGCAGAAGGAATAAAAGTAGATGACAGCAAAGTGTCAGCCATTAGAAGCTGGCCAACACCAACTACAGTTGCAGAATTTCATGGTCTTGCAACCTTTTACAGACGTTTCATCAAGAATTTCAGCACTATAGTTGCAAAAGTGACTGATTGTTTGAAGAAAGGCAAGTTTGAATGGACCAACAAAGCTGAAGAGAGCTTCCAGCAGATCAAAGAAAAGCTATGATCAACCCCCGTCCTTGCATTACCAGATCTCGAAAATATATTTGAAGTAGAATGTGATGCTTCTAGAATTGGGATTGGAGCTGTTCTAAGTCAAACGGGAAGACCAGTAGCATGCGACAGCGAGAAATTGAATGATACAAGAGCACCTATGATCAAGAGTTTTATGCCACTGTTCAAGCTTTAAGGCACTGGCAGCATTATTTGCTTCGCCGTGAGTTTCTTTTGTCCTCAGATCATGAAGCTTTGAAGCATATAAATAGCCAAAAGAAGTTAAATAAGAAGCATGCAAAGTGAGCTTCTCTCCTCCAACAGTTCACTTTTGTGTTGAGGCATAAATCTGGAGTTAGCAATAAAGTGGCAGAAACGCTCAACAGGAGGACCATATTGCTAAATATCATGTCTACAACCATTGAAGGATTTGAATCTTTCAAGGATTTATATCGTGCAGTTTGGAGTGACGGCACTAATGGGTAAGATTGAACATATACGTGGCATAAAGGATTTCTCTTCAAAGGCAATCAGTTGTGCATTCCAGAATGTTTTTTGCGAGAGAGAATCATTATAGATATGCATGGAGGAGGCTTAGGAGGACATTTTGGAAGAGACAAGACACATGCCATGATTGAGCAGAAGTACTTTTGGCCCAAAATGAGGCGAGATGTGTACCGGTTTGTTGATAGATGACAAATATGTCAAGAATCCAAAGGAAAAGTCCAGAATACCGGTCTATACACACCACTGCCTGTTCCTACAGCACCATGGGAAGATGTAAGCATGGATTTTGTATTGGGGCTGCCTAGAACTCAAAGGGGAATGGATTCTATTTTCGTGGTAGTCGACAGATTTTCTAAGATGGTCATTTTATTTGCTACAAAAAGACCATGGATGCATCAAATATTGCAAATCTTTACTTCCAGGAAGTTGTTCATTTGCATGAAGTGCCAAAACAATCACATCGGATCGAGACTCCAAGTTTTGGACACATTTCTGGAGAGATCTATGGAAGAAATTAGGAACTGGGCTGCGGTATAGTAGTTCCTAGCATCCTCAAACAGATGGGCAACCTGATGTAATCAATAGAAGTTTGGGCAATATTCTGAGGTGTTTGGTTGGCAAGAACCCAAAGCAATGGGAGGCCATTATTGCACAAGCTGATTTTGCCTATAATTACTCCGAGAATCGAACTACCAAAAAAAAGTCCCTTTGAAGTAGTACATGGAAGACAACCAACTCATTTTTATGATTTAGCTCATATACCACGGATTGGGAAAAGAAATGCGAAGGGAGAAACCATGGTTGATGAGATGAAAAGGTTGCATGATCAAATGAGGCTGAAAATAGAAGAATCAAATGCCAAGTATAAGGAGGATGCAGACAAGAAGAGGCGTGTCCAGAGCTTTAAAGAAGGCAAAATGGTGATGGTTTACTTACGAAAGGAGAGGTTCCCAACTGGCTCTTATTTTAAGCTCAGCAAGAAGAATATTGGACCTTATCAAATCATCAAGAAGATTGGAGAGAATGCATATAAAATTGATTTACCACAGCACTTGGGTATCGATCCTACATTCAATGTTTCAGATCTGCATCCATTCCATGATGGCAGTAAAAAAAGGGTTGCTGGACAGAATTCAACTCGAGGACGAGTTTCTTCCAAGGAGGAAGGATTGATGCAGTAAGTTCTGTCTCATTAATACAATCAGTTGTGTCAGTCAATAGTCTTTAGTCAAGGGTTTCATTATGGTATGGAAAATCTTAATATGTATTGGAAAACATAAAAGTTGTTATTAATACTCTTGGGTAGTCCGAAAGTCAGTCTTGGGAAAAAGTAGTATCACAATTGTTGTCTTATATAAGGAACATACTTTTATCTGCTGTAAACTACTCTTAATCAACATCATTTGACTTATTGTCTGAATTTTTGGTAGCTCTTAAAGTTTGGAGTATTATTATTGGAGTTTTATTTTCTTTCATTCACTAGCATTCATATAAAGAATTTGTAGTCTTATCTTGTCTGAATATTTGGTAGCTCTAAAAATTTTTGGAGTATTATTATACAAATTATATTCTTGAATATTCTTTTTGTGCACATATGGTTTTATGAATTATTTGAATCTCGTGAAGAAACATAAAGTTTGAAAGACTACAATTGTATTCCGCATAAGGTTTAAAGCCGAATTTTTTATTATGCCTCATGTCATAAGGTTATTGAAGAAATAAAGTTAAAAGGCATGATTGTCTTGGTTTAAAGACAAAAACATAAGGGGGTTTTGTTAAAAATCATAAACTTGATATAAAATATGGATATAGCATAAAAAAATTACATGAAGATGCTATTTCCAATTTTTCCATATTTGCATGGGATCCATGTGAATGATGTGCTAGTGTTGTGATCGTGTATGATTAAATGCATATAAACCACTATGGTCCGCATTGGTGGTATTACTTGACAGGATTTTGATCTAAGGTATTTTATCATATTTGGTTTCTGTCGCCACCAGCCACTGAAAATTTTATTTTATGACAATTATTCTATGTACTCAATGTTTTAAAATTTAATAGAAAAAATCGGATTGATGATTGAGACCAAATAATTAGTCACCGAATACACTCTAAAGATGTGATTATAAAGTTTAGGGGTTGATCTGAACAACTCACCTTCTGTTGCTTGAAAGAAGAGGTACACCGTGCAATCTTCCTCATCTTAATTACACAGTTGTCTATGCCTGCCTTAGCTTGTAATAATTTATGTTAGAACAAACCCTGCAAAATAAAGAGCACAATCACGAAACGACAGAAATCATGCATCAGTGTGAAGATTGAGACTTTCGGAACAACAAATCGAAAACCCAAGTTCTTAAGCACTCAATTCCCGTCTATAACAGATTAAAACACTAACACCCTTGTATACCTGCTTGATAGATCTCCCCTTATTTGCTTTCGCCTACAAATAAATAACAACAATTTAAAAGTAATAAAATCAGCGAATCGGAAAACAGATAGATATATATACACACACACACATGCGCAGAAATATAGAAGGTACCAACTTAAAATCGTAGGGATTCCGATTGGGAAGATCGGTAAGTGGAAACAAAGGAGAATCAGACTTAATCTAGGATTGGGATACTTAAAGTTGGTTTGATGCGCCTGGGTTAATCAACCATGTGTCGGAAGAAATTAGGGCTGCAAGTTGGCGGGTTAGCCCAGCCCACCCCAACCCCAACCCCAACCAAAAAATTTTGAAATTTGGACACACAATTCACAAATCGGGTTCATGCTCGGGTTGGATTTTGTCAAAACCCAAACAATTCGGGTTGGGCTCGGGCTCAACCCGAACCCAACCCAAAATTATTATTATTATTTTTTTTTCTCTTTTCTCTCTCCTCCCTGAAATTTTTTTTCTCTCTCCTCTCTTTCTTTCTTCTTTCTTCTTTCTGCTCGAATTTTTTTTTTTTTTCTCTCTCTCGTCTCTCTTCTCTCTCTCTCTTCTTTCCCTTTCTTCTTTCTGCCCGAATTTTTTTTTTTTTTTTCTCTCTCTCCTCTCTCTTCTTTCTCTTTCTCTTCTCTTTCTTCTTTCTTCTTTCTTCTTTCTTTTTCCCTCTCTGCCCGAAATTTTTTTTTTTTTTTTTCTCTTTTCTCTTCTTTCTCTCTCTCTCTGTGCCGCCGTCCTCAGCCGATCCACCGCCGCCGCCGTCACTTCCAAAAATAAAAACAAACCCATACATACAAGTTAGCAGTTGCAGAGATAGAGGGGAGCAAGCTTGAGACGGCTGAAGCTTGCGAACGGCCCGAACTGGAACAGTCGGCAATGGAAACTGAAACATATGGGTTTTGATTTTTTGAACAATCTGAAATGATCTGAAATATATGGATTTTGAACTTTTGATTCTTGCAGACAGATCTGAAATATATGGGTTTTGAACTTCTGATTCTTGTAGATTTTGTAGTTTGAAGTTACAGAGAGAGAGAGTTAAGAATGAGACAGGGGAGGCTGAAATGATTTGCCCTAAATTTTTTTTGTTTTTTAATAATATATAGATATATATATCTATATAATATATATATTTTCCAAAAAAAAAATATAAATAAATTTTTAAAAACTCAACCCGTCAACCCGACCCGACCGGCCCAAAAATATTCGGGCTGGGTTTTGACTATAACCCATGTTAAGTATAATTCGGGTTGGCCCAACCCAATCCGATTCGGGTTGAGGTTGGATTGGGACTGGGCTGGGTTGGACCCTCCCAACTTGCAGCCCTAGAAGAAATTATGCACTGCCCCAGCAACTACCTTACGTGCTTCAAGCCTACAACCATCCAATTAAAATGCACCATTTGATAAAATTATTTTAAACAAAAAAACCTGCCATGTCAGCAACAACACAACAAATGCAACAGAGCGTGCAATATCCCCCCTCCTATCTCACGGTTCCATCAGGTGCCAAATTGGTTACTATGAAAGCCCAATGTCAATTTTCACTGTTCTTTTTTAGGTAAAAGTGTAAAAAAACGTCCTGAACTATTTAAATTATTGCAAACATCTCCCTAAAGTACCAAAGTGTGCAAATACCCTCTGAGAGTCATTGGATCAGCTTTCAGGCAACTGTTGATTTGAAATGACTGAAATAATATTACTTATTAAATTATATAAAATAAAAATAAAAATAAAAATAAAAGGCTGATGGTGAAATACCAATTTTACCCTACTAAGTTAAGTCGCCATAAAATCTCATTTAGCTGATTATGTTACAGAAAGAGACGCACAGAGAGTTAGAGAGAGATGGAGGCGCAGATACGAACTTAGGGTTTCATAATGTGGGTTGAAGACTTTGATTGTATTCTTATTCTGTTAAATTGTGCGCGACATCGTGTTGTTGTTCTCTTCAATTGTGTGTTACATCGTGTGGTATTTCCTGTTGCGTCTGTCGTTTTCACGAACTTTGGTTCGATTTTACAAGTTCTCCAAATTTGTAAGTGTAGATTCTGTTCTATGTCTTTATGTCGATTTTAAATGAATCTTGTTTTTCATTTTGTATGTTAATGGTTATATTTTTGGGTTAATTAGTATGAATCGAAAATTCGATTTCTAGGATTTGTGAAAATATATCTTGACCTAGTATAAAGATCTCTTTTTGTATATATAATACACATGCATGCAGTCAATTATATGCAATTTTTTAGAACTTAGGAAATGTTTGGTGTAGGTTGTATATTGATTAAAGAAGATAGACCACATTGACAATAGAGTTTATAGTCAATGACAGTGGTCCATGTCTTTTTTCTTTTTTTTACCTTTATGTCTTCGTATAGTGATACACAATGGTCCATGTCTTGTGTTTGATGTCAGTTTGTTTCCATGTGATCATTACTACATTTTTGTATCTTCATATGCTCCATTACTACATAATTAATAACAGTGAAAAAAAAAATGCTTCATTACTCTATTAGGGTTTATGCATATTGTTATTTTATTGCTTAGGTATAGGTATTGTTATTTGCTTAATTTTTTATTTTTTGTGCTTAGGAATTGTCTTTTGATTAATTTTTTATTTTTTGTACTTAGGGTTTATGCATATTGTTATTTTATTGCTTAGGTATTGTTATTTGCTTAATTTTTTATTTTTTTTGCTTAGGGATTATCTTTTGATTATTTTTTTATTTTTTTTACTTAGGGTTTATGCATATTGTTATTTTATTGCTTAGGTATTGTTATTTGCTTAATTTTTTATTTTTTTTGCTTAGGGATTGTCATTTGATTAATTTTTCATTTTTTGTGCTTAGGGTTTGTGCAAATTGTTATTTTTTTTTAGTAAATAAAATGCAAATTGTTATTTTATTGCTCAAATATTGTTATTTACTTAAGTTTTTTTATTTTTTGTGCTTAGGGATTGTCATTTGATATATATATATATATATATATATATATATATATATATATTTGTGCTTAGGGTTTGTGCAAATTGTTATTTTATTGCTTAGGTATTGTTTATTGACCATTTGATCTTTTGATGGTTTGGTTTTCTTGATTGAACAGAGAATAAATACTACTAGGTTGATTACACTGGAAGCACATTTTGGAGGTTATTTCCAATACACACCACTTAAGTCATATGTTGGTGGTGAGGTAGACCTACTTGACAATATTAATGTGGATTTTTTAATCATTTTTTCATCTAAAAAAAGGTGGCCAATAGGCTTGGGTTTGAAAAAAACTATGAGTTGTATTATAGAAATCCAATGATGGCCAGTAATGAAGGAGTTAAGAAAATTGAAGAATATGAAGATGTATTGGAATGCATCAATGCTCATAGCAGGTTCGGGTTGATGAAAATCTTTATAATTTCAAAAGGCAGTGTTGAGGGTGAAAATACTGAAAATGTTGAGGAAAGTTATAAGTGTATGGAGGATGGAGTACAACCTGAAGTTGACATGTAATTTAATGATTCTAATTGGGATGATGAAATACTAGAATGGGCAACTTAGACTAAAAATGAACTGAATGATGAATTAGAGCATGAATATGCTACTGTGGATGTAGATGTGGATGCTAATGTAGTTATAGATGTGGATGCTAATGTGGTTGAAGATGTAAATGCTGATGTGGTTGAAGATGTAAATGTTGATGTAGATGAAGATGTGCATGGTGATGTGGATGAAGATGTGAATGATGGCATGGGTTAATACTCAGATATTGAATCCATATATTCACCAAGTGATGAGTTGGAAAGCTTATGCAGATCATCATCTAAAGAAGATGGCAGTGACAGTGAAGTGGATATGGTTCCAAGAAGACATAAATTTAGGAATAATGTCATAGAACTTGGCAACAAATTTACTTCACCCGAAGCATTTACAGTGGCCTTAAGGGATGATGCTATTAAAGAAAAATATGATATTAGGTTTGTGAAGAATGAAGGAAATAGAGTTACTGTTAGATGTTCAAAAAATTGTGGGTGGAGAATTCATGCCTCATTTAACTCAGATGATGACAGCTTCCAAATAAAGACTTTTAACTCCAAACATACTTTCAGTTATAATAAGCTTAATAGTCAAGCATCAACCAGTTATTTGGCAACCAAATACATGGACACAATTAGGAATAAACCCACATGGAAACCATCAGCAATGAAGAAGGCAGTTTTAAGAGAATTGGATGTTATTGTTTCCAAATACAAGGTTTATAAGGCAAGGAAGAAGGCTAGATCACACATTGATGGTGACCATGGACTGTAATTCTCAAAGGCTAGGGTTTTCTGCCACCTCATTCAGACCACCAACCCTAGTAGTATTGCAGTGACTACTGTTGATAGAGCAACACTTGATGACCCTGCTAGATTTGAAGGGCTATCTGTTTGTTTTGAAGCAATGAAGAGAGGTTTTTTGGAAGGATGTAGGCCATTTATTGGACTGGATGGTTGCTTCTCGAAGGGTCCTTACAAAGGGCAGTTGTTAAGTGCAATTGGGAAGGATAGAGACAATGGAATATTCCCTATAACCATAGGTGTGGTTAGGTCCGAAACAAAACAATCCTGTGAATGGTTTTTGAACCAACTAGAAAGTGTTTTAGGTCATTTAAACAGATTTACATTTATGTCCGCAGACAAAAGGTATAACTGTTTAAATAATTTATTTTATGTCATTTATTTTACATTTAGGAACTTTTTATATTAATATTTTCTTTATTGTTGGTTAATAAGGTTTAGTTGAAATCTTTGAAGACAAGTTGCATGGCACTTACCACAGATTTTGTGTGAAGCATATGTATGAGAATTTTAAGAAGAAGTTTAAATGTGCGAAACTAAGGGATAAGACGTGGAATGCAGCCGTGCTTTGACTGAAGATACATTTAAATATCACATGCATCTCATAAGTCAGATTAATAAGGAAGCCCATAAGTAGCTGTCAAATGTGCCAGCTAAGTTATGGTCAAGGTCTAGGTTCAATGATAATTCAAGATGTGATTTGCTTGTTAACAACCTTTGTGAGACTTGGAATGACAACATTGGTGATGCTAGGGATAAATCACTAATTACTGTGTTGGAGTGGATTAGAGGGTACTTGATGTATCGATTTCAGTCGAAAAGGGAATAGATTCTAACCAAGAAGGGGTTGTTGTGCCCTACAATTGTTGACAAATTGACCAAGCTAATGGATGATTCAAGGCATTGCACTACAAAGAAAGC